AAAACATGTTTAAATAACAATTTTTGTAAATTATAAGACTCAATTGTAAAACGCTTGTGTGGCTTAAAATTGCCTACCTAAAACGCCGCGTTAATGATATATTAGACTTGATACAAAAAAAAAAAAACCATTTAATACCATACTTTTTTTATTTATTTTTAGTTTTAAAATAACTACTTATGTTTTAGTTCATTATAAATTTATTATAGTTCTAAAAGTTATTTATATGAAACAATATATATGCATAGGCACTAGAATAGAAAAGTGAAAAATACAAGGAAATCTTTATTATTGTCCATTTTACTCAGTAGAATGTTAAAATGTAATATAATATAAATCTAGTTTAGTTTTTAAAGTTTACAATATCCAATTTTAGCTTTTCACACTAAATAAAAAACATTTCTTGTTTTTTTTTTCAAAATTGACATAATATTGGTCAAGCCTGAAATGTTGGTAAAAAATATAATCCTAGGTTTGTGTATCCATTTAATGGTAATATATTCCTTCCATTTTATTTAAACGTGCTCCATACATGAAATATACTTTTATTTTATAAATATTTTACTTGTTAATTATACTATTTGTACAAATCTTACATAAACGTCTGGCTTTTATTATAGCATACCCGTTATGAACTATAAGCCATTATTTTTATTTTATAAAAATTATTTAACGTTAATAAATTAAGAGCCTATTGATTTTTTATAAGACTATCCTCAAAAATTTCATCGATAATAATATGGTATATTTTGTATAAAAAACTCCAACGGCTATAAAGTTTTATTACTTCAAATATATGAAATATTACTCATTTGATTAAAAAAATAATCTCTTCATACCTTTTGTAAACTGTAAACACACACACACACACACTAACAGTACCCAAGAACCTATAGCTGATGAATAATTTAGGCGTTTGTTGAGGTCTAAATACAACGTCATTATTGGCTTTCCTACTCTATACCGTATAACAAAGTAGTATTGCTTTTATGCAGAATAAATTTAATTTACATTTATAAGTAGCCGATGGAGTGGAAAAATTCTACAATTTATATATGCGCCATCTAATATGCATACCACATATTTAGACTTAATAAAACATAACTTACACTGATCACGGTCATGCATAGCAAAATAATGTCATTACGTTCATTTATAAAGTATTTATCCAAGATATTGACATAAATTAGATGCTTATAAAAATATTTTGGCTTGTTCAAGGTTTTATTATTAAAGGAAAATTATGGTCTGGCTATGATTACTAACTTGAATTATACATTTGTAATGATTTTAATACTATACTATAAGTGAATTTTATTTTAATAAATTTCATAATGATGTTTTTTATTTTGACATGAGTTCATATCCAATCCGTTTCCAAAATACATTTTTATTTATTTTTGAGCTCGCTAAGCTATTATACTTGTAAGTGCTGTAAAATGTTTAACTCTTAGTGTTTTATTTATTAGAGACCATGGATATTAAATATTTTACAACCTAAAATTTGTATCGAATTCCTCTTCATGAGTAATAACAAATGAAAATAAAATACACTTTGCTGTCTTATTATAGTCGGTACAGACTAGAACCATACATTTTTGGTTTAGTTCTTCAAATATGATAACGCTTTAGTTGCTTTTCTAAAATATATTGAATTTTCCGACGATTCTGCCAATTAATTTTAGCAATAACTCATTATTTTTTGACAAGAAATATATTATATTGTCAATCGTGTAATACATGTGGAAATTTAATAGCTCTATGGGGCACAAATTTGAACATTACAACTTTATGATTCTTGTAGCATTACTATTTAAAATTTAATCTAGGGAACAATGATCGTACGTTACATTGCTCTCTTTATGTTATTGTACCATTGTCATATCCGTGTGCTTCAATCACAAGGTAAACTATTCACAGTAAAAAGGGCTGTTTGATTTTTATAAAAGTTCTCTTGAAATTATAAATTGTAATCCAACGTTTCGCAAAACGTTTAGTGAAACAAAGGATCAACACTTCTTTTAGTGATCACGAAACACCATTGTGTTTTTAGATGTCGGTATTAATTTAAAAAAACTTTAAATTTATTCTTGATTTTTTTTAGTTGAAGATAGTTAAGGAGCTTAACTATCGCCAATTTGACTTTAGTCTACATTAACACAATAATTTGTGTAACAATTCCAAAATAATTAAAACGGCTTATGATTGACACATAGAAATGTCTTCATAATATAACTTTATGGTTACATATATGTTTTGTTCGGTGACGTTATTGTATACGTATACAACATACACATTGAATTGATTAAATTACGCTGAACACATCGCACGAGAAATTATTTACCTCCAATCTGATTACAAACATTGATGACATATTAGAGCCAACGTGACAAAATCTAGAAACATGCATTATGTGAACCGAATCGGATTAGCGATATCATTAAAACGTACATTATAATCCTTGTAACTGATGTAACGAAATATTTTCTATTGGAAGTTGATTTAATTTACAAGAAAATTGTGACGAAAAACAACAAATATATTTTCAAAAAAATATTGATATTTAATAAAAACACAAACTTAAAAAAATTTCACACTTACGAAAAAATGTATGATGATTAATTGTGTACTAACAGAAAATAGTTAAACAAATTTTTTTTAGTAATATGAATGTAATTTAAAAAATTTTAAAGAATGTTTGAACTGATTGTTTTTGCTTTAAAAAGTGGTTAGAAAATGAATGATAACGACTAACTTAAAACAAATAATAATATACACAATTTAATTCACTATATAGTTAATTGACGTTTTAATTAGAATAAAAATACTTAAAAAACACTATATATAGGGTCTTGAGTAATAGAACGGGTTTCTATTGTACTTATTGCTTGTTATAACTGACCTGTTTCCATACTTATAGAACACTCTATATATGTATATGTATATTTAATAAAGGAACAACTAGGTTTTTTAAATTAGTTTGTCTTTTAAAGAACAGTTTATCTAAATTGATAATTAATTATACATTGAAAATACTAAGTTGTGTCTGTTAATTATCTATAAAAAACTTTTCCGTTGAAAAATTAATATTGTAATCTATTTTTCATTTTTTTTTTTTTAATTATCTTTACTGGCTCGTTACTTCAAAATAATATTACACATTTATGTTTAAGTTTATCGTTCTTGTGAAAGTTGAAAGTTATATCCTAAATCCTGTAGTACAATTATTGTTGTATTTTAATGATACTGACAATGCTGAACAAATCTATCTAACTGTTAACCCTAAATTCCTAACCTTTGTGAATGTGAATTACTCCGTGCTTTTTGAAATAATTTGCAACAATAAGGATTAAGATTAAATACCAACATAACCAACAATGCTAAATTATCTTGTTTATGTTTAGTTTCATTGTATTGTTTTATTTTTTGTAGTTTTAAAATAAAGTTATTTACGTTTAAACATTAAAGTAATTACCTAATTTAAAACTTTTAAATTTACATCATTAAATGATGTAAATTTAAAAGTTTTATAATCTGAATTATTTATAATTATAGTTTCTATTATTTTATGTTGTAAACTTTAAAATATTTTAATGCTCATTTTTAACATTGTGTATTTGAATATTATATATAATGATAAATAGAGTCTAATAGCCCTCAAAAAAATATTTTATTAAAAAAATATTATGTAATTATTCCGAGATAAAATAAGTTTTTAACTATAGAAAAAAAAATAACATGCTTCTTATTGTTATTTGTCTAGAAATCTAATAAAATTAATCAATAGTTTTATTATAAAATTTTAGGTACGCTTGTGTTAAAATAGGATATCTTCATAACTATCTTTCTTACTATCTATAGTAGTCAATAAAATTATACAGCTATACAAATGGAACTATAATTGTAAATTACTTCACGTTTTCGGTTGGGTTGGGTTGGCATTCGGCTACTATTTGAAAATTACTAATCGGTGTTTCCTGAAGTCTGTACAATTAATTCAATCAATATATTATGTTATATAATTAAAGGAAACTACAAAATTAATTTTATTGTTTAAACTTGTAGAAAAAGTGTCATTTAAAATTTTGATGGATTTCTATCGAGATTAATATAGGAATAATATATACTAAGGATTTAGTATATATTTATATACTAAAACTTATATATAATTATTTTTAAGGAAGAGACGAGAATCTAAGTTAGATCCTTCAAATATTTTTTTTGTATTGCGCCTATCCCAACTATTTTAGGTTTATTCAACTTTACTATTATTTGACAGGATTTTTATACCGGCTGTCGACCTGTCTCAACCTCGTTATAAACGAAGGAACCAGTAAGAGGACAAGGCGTGTGTCTCTGTTAAAGTTTTCATATGGTCACCCATCCGGAAACTAACAGAAAATAGCGCGGCTGAACATCAGCGCTAAGTCAGTGACTGAACGGTCCTAAATTGCGCCTATAAATTTTATTAAAAATGGTATTGACATATTTTCTAACTTACTGTTACTATTTTAAAAGATATAATCAATTTTTTTTTATTTTATTGTTATTTCAGATACGTTATTCCAATTTTTTTGTTTCTTTTTTTGGCGCTAAAATGTTCTTAATTATAGTGTGAAAATAACTTAGTCAACTGTTAATAATTGTTGATGTACATGTCATGAATAAAGTGATAAATATAAATTAAACTTATCGTGTAAACACATGTCATTCGTTTTAATAAACATGTAGGGGTATTATAATGATACATAAAATAGGAGTTTCGAACTTTACTAACTGTATGTAATGTGTAATTTTATTAGAACCAGAAAAGTCCATTTTCCCTTAATATTTACATTTACACTGAACTATGTTAAATCAAGGCCATTTTAAAAAATATTTATTTAACAGAACACAATAATCTATAGGGTTTTAAGTGTACTTGTTCACTTGTTTTTGGACATAATAAAACGCACTAGTTATGAATTCTGGATTTAATTTTCGATTTTTAATGTTCTCAGGTTTTGGTGATGAGGGTGTGGTTGCTGTTAGCGTGGTATGCGGTAACTGCGTTCGGACAACGGCCTACGCCCAACAAACGACACGACGTTTACATCGCAGGATTTTTCCCATTTGGCGGCCGTGTGTCTGGAAGCATACCGGAAGGAAGAGTCGGCAGGGGTGTCATGCCAGCCGTAAAGTTGGCCGTGGATCACATAAACGAGAATCCAACTTTGTTGCGAAACTATCGACTGCATGTTTGGTGGAACGACACTCAGGTATGTGTACAGTATTTTCATTTTTGGGTTAATTTTCATTGTGTTCCTCGTGAGTTTCCCACGCAAAAACGTTTTAAAAAATTAGCATTTTATCGAAGTACACAGTGTCTAATGATGTAATTTAATGCTGTATTGTAACTTGCTAAAATAAATATGACATCTGAGTGATTGAGTATAAGAATTTCAAGGTATCTAGTGATACATACATACTATATATATATATATATATATATCAAGAATGGTTCAAATAATTAAAAAACTAACAACATTTTGCAAACTCATTAATACTACTTTATTTATAAAAGCAATTTAATTATTTACTTTTTGAAATAATGTTTACATGATACGTTAAAATTATTATAAAAAATAAACTTATATAAGTAATAAAATAAAGTTCTGTCGAGTATCAGCAATACAAAATGTTTTTCAATTTTTGCTGTTTCTTGCAATGAATTCTAGTTGATTAATGGACCGTACTAAAATATTTGAAAAGACACATTGACCTCATAAAACATAAAAGATAACATATAAAAAAATTAAAAAAAAAAAAGGAGGGTGAAATATACAACGATTTATCCAGATATTTTTTTTATTAAAATAATACTCGATAAAGTGAAAAATTCTTAAAAATAAAATTTCATAAGATTTTATAATAGCTAAGTGTGTACTATTAAAATTACTCTATAATTATAAAATGTACGAGTAATTTGACCACTTAAGTAAAAATTTCGTACTATTTTTAAATAAAAAATATAATCAAAGGTTATAAATTTAATCTTACATTTTTAAGTTTTTTTTTTATGGTGGCATGAAAAATGTTTTTTTTTTTTTTTTAAAAGATCTTTGTTATTATTTTGAGTTTTTATGAAAGTAAAGGCTTTTTGATATGATTCTTAAACCGTTATAAGTATTGTACAACTTTTCTTATTATTATACCGTTTTAAGTTTCCCAAGAGATCACAAGTTAAATATTCTGTATTTATGTTGCTGAAAACTCTATTGTGTCACTGTGAATGAGTGTTTCGATAAACTATTTAAAACATATATAATTTTAACACTTTCAAAATTCTATGCAACCTTGAAAACTATATTACATCATACTACTACTTTCCAAGTATCGTTTTTTTACTTTTACTGCTGACAAGTTTCTTTAGCACATTTACCCTGCATTGGTTATTAACAAAGGGGACGTTCGCGAATAATAATATGTACGCTTTCAAAACTTTGCAGAGTGCGTTAATATGTACTTACCCGCAAACGTTTATTTTCTTAGTTGGTGTTAACCTGGAAATCTTTAAAGCGCTAAACGAAAGAGGAAAAGTTTTACTAGAATGGCCAATGGTAAATTTGCAATGCATTTACATTTACCTCAGGTGCACCGTTCGATAATTTACGATATACTTAACAGAAATAAGTGTACACTTACTAAGCCACTTAGTCCTAAATACACTAAAACGTCTGGTTTCTTAAGCGGTCCTATTGAAAAATATAATTTATTGATGTTACAATAATTTATACATTCTCACATCGTTAGTACAGTACTATTTGTCTTAAATCCAATTTGTACCATACAAGTCAAATTTATACGAGCAGTTGGAGTATCTTCACAGAAATAAATTAGCGTGAGGTTAGGTTTCTCAGCTACAACAATTATTAATGACTGTCGCATTCCCAAATGAAATTCTTTTTATAACTCATGTTCAAAATTGATGAAATAAAAAGTAAAACAAAAATATACCACAAACCTTACAATAAGTTTTTCTAACTTTTATAAATAAAAGCTCATCAACAGCATTATTAATAATTTTATTTCTTTAAACACATTTTCAATTGAATATTAAGAGAAATATCATTTAAAATAATAGATAAGTGTTGATTAGTTTATAGATTTTTTATCCGTTTCCATTTATCAATTTCAATAATAGAATTATTTATTAAATGCCAACAGTTATTCTTGTTACCGTTGGCGTTTCTTGTGTAATCAATTGAAAAATAATATACACATGTATTAGCATCATTTTTATGTACACTATTTAATTATTTGTATACAATTTAATCATTGCAATTCGGGACCGTCATCATTATTAAGGTCTAATTTAGAATTATGTGTTTATATTATTAAGGTAATGGATTGTACTTAAGATTTATAAACTTATGCCGAGCAGAGCAAATCGGTACTTTTAATTTTAATTGGATTTTGTGGTTGCGACGCCGCGAAATCGGGAAGGCAGTTGCGGCGGACTGTGTGCTAATATATTAGTCCGTCCAACTCCTTTCCGTTTTCGAACGTCAAACGTTATCGACCGACTTCTAGAATTAGTTTGCTGTGTACATGGTAACCTTGTGTACCGTCGCACGTAAATTAGAATTATAAAACTAAGTCACTTTAATGAGACCAGCCTCAATAAATAAGATTTTATACAACATTTGAAGTTATACATATAATATTTTTTATACTAACTTATCGGTTCAATTCAGTTCAGCTAGGTTGGTTACCACCGAGAAATTGTATGGCTTTTGTAAAATTCGTTTTCTCGAGGAAATGTGACTATTACACATTCCGAGGGCTATTTTACATATGACTACTTCATAATTTATGAACCAATCGCGTGGGTTGCTGCTGTAAAAATCAATAATTATGTTTTTTAGACAAAAATAGATGGATGGGTCGAAAAAAAAAAGTCGAGTGCGTTTAAAGAAAAATGACTGCTAAAATTTATTGATCGGTCGGAAATATTGTTAGCTGAATAATGGGGAAGCAAATTCGCTCTGTACGCGGTGGTGTATATTGGCGACGACGCATTGTGGTGGGGGTATTTTGCGAAAGACTTTCGTCGGGGCTATTGCCCTCAGCATTCATAATGGTTGTGAAGATTAAATTCCCATACACATCTATGAAAGCGCACGTGTATTACAGTCAAATGGATCTCGCACGTCTTTCTACGGCAATGGCAGTTTCAATCTCTTCCGTTTGCGTACACCGTTGAAACGTATCCCGCGAGTGTAATAAATTATAACTCATAAATTCCAAATCTCATCGAAAATGTTTTTCTTCTAAAAAGTTTTATGCCGATTTTTTCGTATCAAAACACTAAACACGCACTGGGTTAAACGTCTTGTTACGCCGTAGTAGTACCACTTCACTGCAAAGTCACTGTAGTGACAACTTAGCATTGCTGATTTGAAAAAAGTGGTATAAAAATTAATTTTTGCAAGTTATTTTTTGTCAAACATCAATGGATATTTACAATTTTCTGACTTTTTCAATTGCGAGTAGCCCGTAACTATTAAAATTAAAATTTATCAATTTGAATATCTCATTTCAAAATTATCTTTTTTTAAGGTATAAATTTAGATTTTCCGTATGATTAGCCGTAGAACACATTGAATATGAAAATGCATTTAAGTATAATGTGTGTTTTACACAATGTCGCAATTACAATAGCGTATGTTAAACACGTGTACGAATTTTTTTTTAATCAAGCTTATGCATGTTTTGAATATATTTATTTTCATTATTTTCTTAAAGTTCAATAAATAATGATGTGTAAACAGTGTTAGCTGAGTAACTAAAAGTCAACGGAAAATGTGTTGGACATTGGTAATAACTAGTAAATAAAAACCATATTATACCACCCTAGGTCAATATAATTCAATATATTTTTTCTTTACTTACCATTTTCACAATTGAAAAAAAATATTTTTATATTCTTTTGACACGAAAAGCAAATAATACACAGCTATCAAAAGTTATGTAACCATAATACTTGATGCGCTTTGAAATCATTTTATTATTATTACTTTTTTTAACGGAAATTTACAGGTTCGATTGCATTGAATTAAATTACAATTTTTAGCTATTCTAATAATGTTATTGACAGCAAGATACATACCTGAAGTATTTGCATGTTGTTTTGTTGGCATTTCCAAAATAAATCCTGTAAATTAATTTCCTCTAGCCAGTTTCCACTGGATGTTTAACGGATAAACAACTATTATGCGACTGTCAAAGGTTTAAATGAGAATAAACATCTAAATGAAAGTAATTTTTTATAAAAAAAAGCTTGAAGCTTTTCGGTTTAGCTTGAAACTATAATTTTACTCGGAATTATGCCACTTGACGCCTTGGAATATCGTTATGTTTTTAAAAATGACATAATAAATATTTGATGGACGCTTAACACACTTAGAGTGACGGCATACGTAAAAGAAAATGTAAATTATTTATTGCTAAAGGTAAAATCATAAAAAATACATAAATATCAATAAATTTAAAATCAACTAAAGAAGGACAGCTGTCTAAATTTTATTTTTATTTTCTTTTTTTGAAAAATGAAAAATATTATTTTCCATGTATCTTAATTTGACTATATCATTAAAGATAAATGTCTGAGAAAAGAGATAAATTCATAGAGGAACATTTAAATGGAATAGTTTAAAAATTTGATTATAAAAATATCAAGCATATACCTTAATTTATATTGAATTCCGACTCGAAATAGTTGAACAAATTATTGCGATTATCTAAAATGAAGTCTTAATAGTTGCTTTGCCAAATTCCCATTTACTTTGAACTTTATACTAAAACATTCAGAAAAAAATGTGTAGAACACATTGATTGTTGTACACAGTTTAAATTATTGTTTGTGGTGTAAAATCAACAAAAAAATTAATATAGCAAACCTTTTTGAATTATAAGATATTTTGAAAGATTTTATGTTAAAAGTTAACGCCCAATGGTGCCATTTTCAAAATTGTTTAAATATTTTAATATAAAATATTTATACAGAATATCACCTTTTCTGTTAAACAAAATTGCTATATATGTTGAGTTACAGACGTGAAATATGATGAGTTATTAAAAATATGTGTCATATTTGACATGAATCAAAACTGAATAGTATAGGCAATATATTAAAAAAATGATGGCAATTAATTGTAATATATATATATTAGGTGCTATAAACTCGTCAGCTTAGAATGAAAACGTTCTAACGAAA